CTTCTCACATCTTAAGTATTTCTGCTCTTTTGTCTCCACAAAGTTATCTTGCTTGCGCGAGCGTACAATTTCAGGTACAGCCTAATATCATATGATAGCATTAGCAATGTGATTTGACATTAACTTTGCATAGATAGCACTAGCCATGGGATTGACGTTAGCTTTGACCCGCAATGAAGCTGACGACACATGCTGAGCCACGCGACCGTCACGGCGTCTTTTCTTAAGGGAATTGGCGGTCAACAAGGAAACACGGGACGCTTGTATTGAGACACGACAGATCGAGCTCTTAGACTGTTCAGGTGTCTCATGCAACGGGTTGCATTCCTGTCACGTCATATGAAGCCTAGGTTTCTTCCAGAAACATAAGATATGGTAAAGGTGAGGTGGGAAGGTGGGGTATAGTGAGGAACGTGTACGACCGACTATATCATGTGGCGTAGGATAAGGTAAAGAACAGAGAACACCATATTTCATAGTTTAGGATTTTTCCACAGAACGCTCCGACCTAACCTTAAAATCAGGTGTCGCAAAACAAAATCTACAATGCTAACTACCAGTCGCCAACGATCAGAAGGTTCCTCTCGGAAGCGCTGCAGCAAAATCCTATAGAGTTTTAAACGCGTGCTTGATGTTATGAGCCGTGACAAACGGCTTTACCACCGGTTTACACCCAGAATCTAGACCGCCATTGGAAAACACATCCACGCCGTCCTTTCGCGTCAAATTAATGACCATGTCGCCAACAATTGTCTCAGCAAAGAAATTACCCCCCTCCCTTCACAAACGGCGTAGCTCTTGTCCCCAATCACGACGTCGTATTCAACCCCGCAATAGTCATTGGGAATGCCATCTGGCCTATTAGCTTGCCGTTTCGAGATTTCCTCGACAAGCGCATTGATCGGCGGAATCGGGTAGGGGCCTGACTCCGAGTCCAAACACACAGAGGGCTTCTCCGCGTTGGACGTGTCGATCTCTGTGGCGTATCCATCCGTCTGCATGTAGGAGGTGATCGGCCTGTCCAAACCAGAATTCTTGTCAAATTTCGCGGAGATATCGTAGAGCATCTTCACGCCTTCCGATCCGACTGGTATGGCTTCCATGGTGTAGTTGACATCAGGAGAGGACTTAAACTGCGGCCTGACGAGGATGGAAAAACTCGGCCAATCCGTTGTCGGGTCGGGTCGGCGAACTCGGGCGCCATCCTCGCCAAGGAGCGAAGCGTCTGCAGACGGGAGCAGCACCGTGTAGACCGCCGTCCAGCGCAGAACAGCCCGTGAAATCGTTGTCGGGGGGGGGGGCACAGTCGCGTACGATGTGGGTGGGCGGCTCGAGCCAATTGCAATTGTGAAGCCAATCAGGACCGCGATCCAGGTCATGGACACGGCCAAACATGTCGTCGAAGCCTCTCGATGGTTGTGAATTGTCGATACCTCGCTTTATGACACAACAGGAAACAAGCATCCGGATGGACAGCCTGCGAGAGAAGACATAGCTGTGGTATCGTTCGCTCAATCCCAGTCGTGTATACGGCAGCCCATTCGTGTTTCTTCTCGGTATCGCGCATCGATGAGTTTGTAGCAGCATCAGCTTACGAATACGGTGCGTTTAACGGGATTATCCATGACCACGCGAAGTCAACGACACAAAGAGTATGTTTGAGAGCTCTGGTCGAGACTTTACATGGCGCTCTACTCCACAAACATTGCGTGGCTTTCATCGTATGTTTATGGTAAAACAAAATTTGAAAGGGAGAGAATCAACAGCGTCTGCTCTTGGATAGCGTCATGTGTGGCTCGCACGTGGTGAATGGACGTCAGCTCGCCAGAGTATCCGTCAGACGGCTGTTTGTCAATTGGACGAGCTGCTGCGGCGGTCGAGATTGGACGACTCGTCTTGCGACAGAGTTCGACGTAACTCACTCGTTTGCTCCACAGCATCTGCATGGACGTCAGTTTGTCGAACCGGACAGTCTCGTCGTGCGATAGAGCTCCCCACGTGAACTCGCGCATGGTGAAATCCACTTGCTGCAACATCTACAGCACTTTCTTTGAATTTGCACATCACATCAGTGCTCCCCGTTACCCTCAGCTCGTCTATGCCACACCACGACAAGAGCGTCCGCGTTCTTGCATGCTCCTTGATTACGTTTGTCTCGCACTGTTGTGACGGTCGTCCGAAGGAGCCCCGTGCAAGTTCAACTTGTGGTAACACTGGTCAACGAGGCTACACTTGCGTGTCCGATCGACCGTCGTATTCGTTTCAGTCGATGCGGACCGAGTAGCCAGGCCACCCTTCCGGTTTGAGCCTATCCGTCTCAACTGCGTTTGTACAGACAGCGGAGTTGCAATGCTGTGTTTGTGTTGCCGTCGTTGGCCGCTAGAGCTAGGCTTTGTCACGGCTAGACTGCAGCCTCTCGAAGCGATCTTAGTCACACTCGTCACTCGTGGTAGGCTTACGTGCATCCTTAGAGGACTACGTCGTCTCGGTAGCATTAACACATGGTGCTTGTACGGCGCTGCGTCTGCTTATGAGTACTGTGAAGTGGCGGACTCAATGCAATAGATCGGTAGCCGAGAAGCACATATGCTAACGGCACACGGAGCTGGTTTCAAGGAATGACTGTGTATCGAGAAGTGCAAATTCGACCGGATCACATCGTGCGAGACCGCGTTCATGACTACTTGTACACTTCACATGCGCCAGGTCATCCACACGACTCTGGATCTCGACAGCGAAGTGAAAGGAAACTTCACGCTGCAAGAAGATGGTGTGGTGTCTACGTACAAAGGTAAGTGCGTTAGCATCAGTAGAACGAGGACGCGTGCTACGATCTTGAAGGGTCCACAAACGACGGCAGCTCGGGGATCTTGCACCTCGACGAGATCTGCTTTGCTGGCGGGACGGGCAATGTCATGCACACTATCAATGACTCTATGGGCTGTGCCTCGACAACCATACTCGGATCGAGAGGCAATTGGGCACACAGCAAGTACCTGTCCATGTCAGTTGGAAAAACTACGTCACGAAGAGAGTCGAGGAGCTTCAGTCAAGCCGCACGATACAAATCATGCTATGCAAAGGTTGCTCTAAGACTTTACTTCCCCGCTAACGCCTGCTCAGAGCATGAAGTTGTTTTCTACGGCTAAGCAATTGCCAAGTAGCTGGGCGAATCTTATTTGAATCTGACAGCTAGGGGGAAATAGGTATTATTACACTGTTAATCTGACGGCTGGGAGTGAACCATGCGGAGGCGCGGACAACTTTGTCTTGTACAATATCTTGTGCGAAGCTAATCCGACGATGCGCACGACGACGCTGTCCTGTGTGGATGAGAATAGGGCTGTATACATTCGACAGGCTGAAGAGCTCGATCAGTGTGCACATTTGACGGAGCTCGACATACAAGTCAAGCATTTCCGGCCAGACGCAATGAGCTTTCGTCAAGCAAAGAATAACCATGACAACTTAGAAAGTCAAGAAGCGTTCGGAAGATCAAGGATCACTAAAGCTCTAACATTGAGGTAGCAATGGACACGTAAAGCTAGCTTACCCGAAGAGAGGCAAGTAGCGACAAGATGTAGATTTTGTTCGAATTCAGCGATGCACTGTCCAATTCGACTAGTAAGTAAGATCTCGACAGCGGCTCTTGGTCAATTGAGCCTTCTCGGCGACGCGGTTGACTGCCAAACAACTTTTTACGCAGTTTCTAATCAAGGACTCCAAATGGTCACCAAACAATGTAGTCAGGTGACCCAAGTCAAAGCACTTTGTATTATGATGACCATCCGACTTCTCGACGTCAAATATGCGTCGATGAAAAGCATAGCATTGTTTCCTCCTGTAAAATTGGAAAGATAGAGTACGTCCTTGATACTGTAAAGGGGGTTAAATGTGGTCTCTCATCATAGATGCCTACTCGTAACACACGTTGATCGTACCAACGATGTGTCAAGTGTCGAGGTCAACGATTGAATTTTACTCAATAACTTTTGTGTGAGCTACTTCACTATCGAAGACGGTTTTCTGCATCGCGAAGGCTTCTAGAAATAGAGATGATACATGTGCTGTTTGTATTAATTTTGCAGGTGTTGTATATCGCCGTTTGTTCTCCGAGCTTACGACACAGACATCAACGTGGCCCGCGACCCTGCCTCAGGTATCATACCAACTGATGCTAAGCGTATCAACTGCGTGGCCTGCACACAAGGATAGCAGACGAAAAATTAAGTACGCAAAGAAAGGACGTAGAATCTGCTCATCATTGTGATCGGCAAAGACGTTTGTTCGGGTCTTAAAGGGCTCAGACACCCCGTGATTGGCGGGGTCCTTTGTTTGGACCACAAAGGGCTTAGACGTTCCGTGATCGGCTAGGCAATAATTACGTGACAAATGTATCGATCGTCGGTCAATCTGCTACCGAGTAATTCTAGAAAAAGAAGGTATGATGCTGCGATAAATTTCAGTCCTTTTCTGGTGGCTTTTAAAAGCGATTCGGTACCGTGCACAAGCTCTCCGTATAGACCGTGTTAGCGGATACAATTGTGGATGTGTTATACGAGAATACCGCATCGTTTGTCAAATAAGATATATACAATCAGGCAAGCAATGAAAAAGCCTGAAGGATACACCGCACCATCCTGAACATGACAAGGTGTATGCAATATGTCAAGTGAGCTATCTTTTTGCGGGTTTCAGGCAATGATGCTGAATAGGGCTTACTTCCTCATATAAAGTCCACCGAGACAGATGAAGGTGGCAGATGGCTTATTGAGGCCTGAACCAAGAAATGACCGCTCCCAAGTGACATCGCAATCTTTGGCTTTCGGAGTGCAATCGCACTTCAAGCGCAGTCTCGACGGGGCAGCGTCAAAGTACAGAGAGTAAATGTATAACGAGCGCAATTGCGCAGCTTGTAAGTCTGCAAACAACAGGGCGCTGTTGTGTCCAAGACACAAAGTGTCGACGTTGCGGTGAATCGGCATGGCCCTTGTCGACGTTCACTTGTCGGACTGCTTCGCTGCATCATCAAGGATGGAGAAATAGATTTGCGGTCGTTTCTGGGTCGAAGCGTACAGCTCTTCTGTGGCATGGGCGAGTCGCAACATGATATCTTCCTGCCAGTGGCCTGTTTGAAACTGAATGGAAATGGGCAGACCGCGGCGGTCGTATCCGATTGGAACAGCTACTCCTGGCACGCCGATGAGGTTGCCATACAAGCTGAAGCGAAAGATATCTCCAAGTTGCTGTGCGTTGAGCTCACCAGCTGCATACGCCTCGGTCGGGACCTCAGGCGCCGTCACACCGGTCGAAGGCGTCACGAACGCGTCCACTTTGCTGAGCACATTTTCCTGGAACTGGCGCAGTGCGAACGCACGAACACGCTGAGCGGCAAGAAAGTCCATGGCGGTGAGGCTCCGGCCGAAGGCTAATATGAGCTGTACTTCCGGAGACAATTCCCCGAAGCGCTCATAATACTTGTCTAGATTTTGAGCAAATTCGGTCATGATCGTGATGCTGTGTGCAACGTTGATGGGCGTCAGGTGGTAAAGTGGTGTCTCCACCAGCGTAGCTCCGCGGCCTTCGAGAGCTTCAAGAGCCTTGTTAACAGCTTCGGCAATTTCAGTTGATGAGTGGTTCGTGTAGTCGCGGAAGTACCCGATGCGAACACCCTTGAGAGAAGACGTATGATCGAATGAGTGCACGTCCACAGGTGGCTGCGTTATGCCACGAGAAAAGACAGTCGTATCGCCGCCACTCATGATCGCGTAGCCGATGGCAGCGTCACGAACAGAGCCTGCGATGGGACCAACATGAGCAACAGATGGACAACCTGCTGCCGCTAGAGGAATACGCTCGAACGTTGGTTTGATGCCAACTACGCCACACAACGAAGAAGGGATGCGAATGGAACCGCCTCCATCCAAACCAAGCGCCAGCGGCACGAGCCCCGATGCCACCGCTGCAGCAGAACCACTAGAAGATCCACCGGTGTAGCATTTTGGGTTATACGGGTTACGCACTGCGCCATAATGCATGTTGTAGCCCGTGACCCCCGATCCGAGCTCGTGCATGTTAGTGGTTCCAAGAATAATAGCTCCAGCCGCACGGAGCCTCGCAACTGATAGGTCATCTTCCGTTGCTACTTCCTCTTCATATCCCATGAACGACGTACCTTTAAACACGCGGTGGCCTTTCACGTGCACTTCGTCTTTGATGGCCACTGGCACTCCATCCAGCACACCAAGGGGCTGTCCTCGTGCATATCGCTCAGCTGAGGCTCTTGCTTGTGCCAAAATGTCTTCATCGCGCTTTTCCACGAACAAATTGAGTGGGAACTCACTCTCTTTGTTCTTCTCTACTGCAACCAGTATAGCTTTCACCACCTGCACAGGAGTCACTTCGCCTAAGGTATAGCGAGACGTGTAGTCGGCGATGGTCCAGTGCCTGAAGGAGACGTCGGCGTTCGTACTTCGTGCACCTTTCTTACAGAACTCTTCCAGCGATTGTGGCTTTTCCCCTCCAATCAGCCGGCTCACGTCAGTTTCATTGGGCTCGATATACGGGTAATACAGTGGCAAGTCTGGGATGGATGCTGCGAATCTAGCAGTAGCAATAGGTACACACACAAATGCTTTTATCAGACATCAGACTAGACGACGATACAGGAGCTCCCATTGTCATGTTCTCACGTACTTTCGAACTTCCAGAATCTTGTTATCTTTAGCTAAATGATTGCACAAGATTCGGCCGAGGACGGGGAGGCGGGAGATGTAGGCGAGTGCCTGAAGCGGCTTCCCATACAGCACGGGAGATGAAAGATCCATCAGGTCGTAGCCACTGTTGATCGCCCACTGACGCTGTAGCTCATGCAGCGGGGGCAAGTCCATGCGCTCGCCCAGCATCAGCAGTGCGCTAGCTACTAGCACGACGAGGGCCACTGCGGCGGAGGCTGACACCATTGGACGTAGCAGATGGAGGGCGTGGACGAGGAGGATCTTGCGACGGACGACGCCTGAGACTGCGTTGACTGCGCGATGGGCACTCAACCAATGCAAACCAACCAACCAATGAAAACCAACCAATGAATGAAAACCAACCAATGAAAACCAATTAACCAATGAGACTCTACTCGAGGAAAACGAGCTCCAACGTCTCGAGTTTGTTCTTTTTTGCTTTAAAGTTCGTCGAATAGAGTCGCCGCGATCATCCGACGCGTTATGTCAATACGGACAGCTTTTGCGCACAGTTTTAACCGGATATTACCAGCTGACTCTTTGTCGACGTTGTCACGAGAGGAGACCGAGGAATTGGACAGTACAGTCCGCAGACTGTCAATGCCGTCACTGGCGTCGCCCTCGTCGCTCCTGAGTTCCGTCGTCTCACAGGCTGTGGGTGCGCAGTCGGCGCGCGCGCGACTGCTGTCCACGCTATCAACGCGCCACGTGGAGGACATTGACGGCTTACAGATCGCTGACCTGCGTTCGCTGTCGTCGTCTGTTGCGTCGTCCACGACCCATTCGCACTCAACGTGTGATTCTTATTCGCAGATCGAGACGGACTTTACCGAAGCGGTTCTGTTTGTTGAGAGCTATCAAGGGCCGCACCGTATCCTGACGCAGGAGCATTCGTCGCCGAAGAAGGACTTTTACGCCTTTTTTCAGCAGGCGACAGTCGGTCCATGTCCCACCACGACGCCGTCCGCCCAATGGACCAAAGCGGAGCAGGAGAAGTGGGAGAAGTGGCGTAAATTGGGATACATGACGAGGCGGGAGGCCATGCAACGATACGTCACGGCGCTGGACAATCTCGTGGACGAGTGGCGGCGCAGCGCGAAGTTACGCGGCACTTCCGTTCGTAACAGAAACCTGGACACCTCCGCGGTTCAATCAGGATCTGAAGCAGGATCTGCAGTGTCAAACCAGCTGAAGTGGTCTACCAGCATGATCGAGCGCTTGCCACGGATGTACGATGAACTAGTGGAGCTACAGGACCGCTTGGAGGACGAGACGAAGAAGCGTGAGGAGCTGGAAGCTCACTTGCTGCACTCCATTCGCGACAACCGCTGCGTCGCGAACAAGCAGATCGAGCACGCGAGCAACAGCTTCGCCTCGCTGGTCAAGAATCTGGAAGAGAATGTAGCGCAGCACTCGGTCGAGCTACAGCAGTTGGCGTTGCAGCAGCACCAGTTTGCGGCTCGAGCAGAGAGCTCAGTCCTCGTGGCCGTCGAAGCTCGAATGCGGCGCGTGGTGGTCTATGTCCGAAAGTGGATGCACAACCGCTCGATCCGTGCGGCGTTCGTCGTAGTGATTGGGCTCCAGGGATGGCAGTTCTTGCGCCGCTGTCGTCTGCCGCAGTTTGTAGCGCAAATCCTCATCCGGTGGCTGACCAGAGCGTCGTCACTAGACAGTGACAAGACGGCATTGCCCACGATCAGTCGACACTGACTGGTCCGCTGCGGACGAATTCGTTGCCGCGGACGCGTTTCTGTATCTTTTGTGCGTGTTCTTTTTCGCTTGTCGAGCGCTTATCCATTTGTCGTCGTTTCGGTCGTCACTTTGAACGGGTGGACGTGTTGCTCGCAGTTGGTTTCTCGCCCTTCCCACCATACTCAGATCAAGACGTCGCGCCTCCGACCGCTCCCGCACTTGCACAGTTTCCTTCTTTCGACGACATGTTCTGCGGCGAGTGCGGCCACCGCTGGGAGCCCGAAGAGATCGCCAACGCGCGCTTCTGCGCCGACTGCGGCGCCCCCCGGGAAGACGCCCCTCCTGCAGCAGCTGCAGCTTCGGTGCCCCATACCTCGAGCTTCTCTGCGCCGCCGTACGCCGCCCCGCCATCGACTGCTGCCACCAAATCCAGTGCCATCGACTTTACACCAAAGTACAGTGCGGTGGCACCAGTGGCGACGCCGTCACCAGCGCCGCCCGTAGCTCCAACTTACACTGCGCCGCCGTCTTCCGGTCCATCAGCTGCTGCGAGCGCCAAGTGCGCGCAATGCGGTGAGCCATTTGGAGACTCCACCGCCTCATTCTGCGGCGAATGCGGCGCTCATCGCCCTGCAGCGGCCCCGAAAGCCGCCGGCGGGGGGACGGGACACCTGTTCAGTGCGGCGTCCACGTCGTACGCTGCTCCAGCTCCAGCTGCTGTGACGCAGTCTGCCGGGTACAGTGGGGGCGCCTCTTTTTCATCCTCCAGCGTGGGTCACACGCCGCCCTACGCTGCACCTCATGCCCCAGCAGCAGCAGCTCCCACGCCACCAGCTTCTTCTCCTGGGCACGACCCGTACGCTCCACCTGCTGCCTCTCCTGCGTACAACCCGTACGCTCCACCTGCTGTCGGCCCCTCTGCGTCGAACCCGTACGCTCCACCTGCTGCCTCTCCGGCGTACAACTGGTACGCTCCACCTACCGGTGGCCCCTCTGCGTCGAACCCGTACGCTCCACCCGCTGCCTCTTCTGCATACGCCCCACCGCAGGCACCAGCGCAACCGGCTGAGCCGCCGGCTTCGGTGGACGTGAAAGCTGCTGATTCGTCTGGCAGTAGTATCAGCAAATTGCTGGCGAATCTGTCAGTAAGCACGAAGTCCGAAGGCGAGAAAGAGGAACAAGATGGGACAGGCGCTGGGATACACATCCGACAGGTCGTTCGTGCGCGGAACATGGACTCGCTCAGCACGCGATTGGAAATCTCGAACGCTGTCGAGCGCAACCGCGTAAATCCCCAGGAGCGCAGCGAAGGATACAACGTGACGAAGGTGAACGAGACGATCACAGTAGTGCAAAACGAACGCGCGGATCCGGTCGAGGAGCGCTACTACAACCAGCACACGCTACCAGACAACGGCGAGTGGCTTCAGATATTGCGCAAGAACCGGCAGACGGGATCAAAGTTCACGGACCCACAATTCCCACCCGACGCGTCGTCGATTTTCCGTGATGCCAATAACCCAAAGTACCCGCATTTGCTAGAGTACGTCCGGAAGTGGAAACGTGTGACCGAGTTTTTCAACGAGACGGCATATGTTGAGATCACGATGCTGGATGACGAGAAGAAGCTGGTGTGCAGCATGTCGATCAAAAGCCCAGCTGAGACTGAGAGCATTCTGAGTGTGATCCGTCAGAATCCGACGCACATCGATGCGCAGTTTCTAAAAATTGCCAAGGAAGCAGTCACGACGGGTGTCATGAAACGCAAGCGCGATCACTTGATGCTGCTTACGAAGAACATGATTGTGCACATGAGCGAGTATGTGCAGGATGGACTCCAGCGCTTCGAGTTGATGTGGGAAAAAAGCTTGCTTGATCACTACAAACCACTTGCGTTTTCCAGTGTGGGGGAAGGATCGGGCTACCGCGTCGACGGGTCCGAGTCCGGAGTAGTGTCTCGCGTCTCGATTCTGGTGCCTGTGTACTTTCATGCGCAGGGCACATGCCTTTTTGACCGTTCCCGCGAGCCCAAAGCCGCCAGTCGTACCTCAGGGGTGGGCATCAGCCCTGGAGAGTTGCGCGTGGGAAGACTTGCAGACGCCTACGTGTTTGGCGCACTATCCATTTTGTCTACGTCGCCGCTTGCGTTATCGCAATTGTTTCCCGAGATAAGTGACGACCTGGTGCGCCCAGACCGCGTTGAGATTGGGACCGCATACCCAAAAGAGCAACAGTACAATGAAGAGGGTGTATACGCCGTTCGCTTCTGGCGTAACAATCGTAGCCGCGTGGTCGTCGTCGACGACTACGTGCCGTGCAGTCAGTACGGCAAACCTGTCTTCGGTTCTTTCACAGGAAGCAACGGCAAGTTTGAGATATGGTCGCTGCTGGTAGAGAAGGCATACGCGAAATTGCACGGCGGATACGAGGCGATCGTTGGTGGGCAAGAAGGCTACTGCATGCAGGATCTCTTTGGCGGCGTGCCTGTGCGGTACCAGTTGCAAGAAAAATGTCCAGACGAAGAAAATGCGTGGCGAACGATGATCAGTGTGCTCCAGTCAGGCTCCCTTGTGGGATGCAGCAATGAAAACACGGCAGCCGAATTGCCTTCAGGTCTCCTTAAGACTTATGCGTACGGTATAATGAAGCTAGTGGAGCTGGATTTCAAGGGCGTGCCTACGCGCTTGGTTCAGCTGCGCAACAGCTGGGGTATCGGAACGCACCAGCAACCGGAGAAGTGGAAGGGTTTTTGGTCCAACGAAGACCCGAAGTGGCATGACTTTTCTCGCATGCAGAAGGTGGACTGCGGATTCCAGTTTCGCGAGGACCACACCTACTGGATGGATTTCAGCGCCTTTTACTGTTTCTTCACGACCATCATCGAGTCACGAAACTTGTACAATTTCCGCTCCCTTCCGGACGGCATCGGTAATCCGACTGCCCCAAGTTTGAGCATCCACATCGTGTCAGGAGAGTGGAATGGTATCACGAGTGGTGGGCGTGACGCCATGCACTTGAATCCGCAAGTGCAGCTCTTCTCTCCAGCTACAAGTGGCTGCGATCTGATAGTCCATCTGGAACAGCCATCACGCCGTCTAAAGATGGACACGGAGTACACCTCTTACATTGCGCCCGTTGTTGTGAAGAATGGTGAGCGACGGCTGCGCAAAATTGACCTTTTGCAGGATGTGCTGGCTACAGGCACCTTCATTTCGAACCGTAGTTGCCTCTTGGAAACGAAGCTGGTGCCAGAAGAAGGAGGCAAACCATTTGTGATCATACCTGCGACGTACGACGGCTCTCTACCGTATCAGCTAGGTTTCTCAATGACGCTTTTTACGTCGAAGCCGACTGCCGTGGTGCCCGTCTCGGACACGGGCTCAATACCCGTATGCTGCGTTTGTCAGAAGGCACTAGCAGGTACTTTCCGCACCTTCACACAGGAGAAAGATGGGCAGACGAAAGTTGACCGCGTGTGCCAAGGCACGTGTGTGAATACTTACCGCGAGCGCAATACTCCTGTGTGCGTGGATTGTCATCAGCGCATCGAGGTTGTGGACGGTCAATTCTCCGGCCGTATGTTCACCCTGCCCGATGGTTCCAGCGTGCACGCCGAGTGTATTGATGCGTACCAGATTCGAACGTCGGAGAAGTGCATCCATTGTGGTTATGCGATCGCTGCTATTCCTGGCCAGTTTGACGGCAAGTACTACCAGGTCACAGGGGGTAAATGCCACGGAGAGTGTATGGAGGCATTCCAGCTCGCCACCGCTCAGCGCTGTGTGCGCTGTAGCGAGCCTGTGGTCAAAGTTCCTGGCAAATTTGATGGCCGCTTTTACAAAATCGAAGGCGACCGTCTTGTGCATTTCGAGTGCTGGGAGCTCTACCAGCAGTCTGTGGCGCCCAAGTGTGTGCATTGTGTGCAGCCAATCTTGCAGATTCCAGGACGCTTCGACGGGCGCTTTTACGAGCTGGCGAGTGGCATTGGTAAGGTGCACTTTGAGTGCTGGAGCGCCTACCAGAGGCTAGCAACTTGACCGATGTAACGAAGCAGTGGTGTATCGACGGTTCTTGGTTACAACATCAGGCTATATGGAAAGGTGCTTGCTGTTAGACATGCTAACACGTGGGTGACAGCCACATTGTTTGAAATGAGCCAACGCGTGCCTACGAATCGTGATATGTTGATCGACGTTTGTTCTGTACTTGTAAATGTTACATCACGATAATTGTACGAATTTTGCGTCCATTTGCCGCAACACGGACGAGAGAGAACGTGCTATTGTCAAGCATTCAGATGGTGCCATCGACAATCAGCACAAAATGGCAACTTGTGCTACATTTCTGCCAAGCGATTGGATCTTTCACTCAACGAAAGCTCTCTTTTCCGTGCGGATGCAATGCGACGTTAGCAACACGTATGTTTTTTGTGGCGTAGGCGCGTGAACAGTAGCCGTCGTACTAGACGCACTCGCGCTTGATACCGAAGTACGACCAACTTACGCTGCCATCGCTGTGAACAGAATGCCAAAATGCTGCGAGGTAATAGCGGGCTGGTCTCAAATGGTATGCTCTATGTAACGATGAAGGACGCACCGAGTTGTAGGTAGCAAGCGTCATTTCTCAAGTAGCAAAAGTCTATGCAGGCGCCACTCATTGCGGCCGCGTCCCATGTTGTTGGAATGATGCTGAGATAGATGTCAATGTGTTGAGGGGGATGAGGGTATCATACCGCTCTTTGCGTGGCCAGACCTGATACCAGAGCGACAAATTCTGTCATGAAATCGTTGTTGAATCGACCGACCGCTTTCTTCGTTATCATAGCAGAGACGTTGCGGACACACTGGGACAGAGTGTGACGGTAGAAAAGTCGGCTCTTATCTGCTATGTGCTGTCGAGTGGACACGGACTGCGGGGACACCGACGGAATAAAATTCGTAAATAGGCGAACGAAACACCACAAACGCCCGTGACGTATGATGAGCTACTTGACATTGAATGAACATGTGCGAATGCTAAGCGGCCGTATTTTATGCCAAGCAACGGCTTATGCAGCACGACCTTTGGCCTCGATGTATGGGTCGACGGAAGCGCCAAATAGAAGTAAGCAAGCACACGAAGGCGTCGGATTGTTGAAAATGGCACGTTACAAAAGGCATGGGTTACTGAACCTAGCACGTTCCAGTCCACATCGCGTCAAAAAACGGCCGAGAAAGCCCATTTGTATTCGTCGCTACTCCACTCTATTCGTTCAGGCAAAACAGAGAAATCACGTCGCGAGCTCTCACGACAGGAGGCCGAGGCCTGACACAAAAGTCGTGCACTGATGAAGCCACGGGAGTAAGTGGGTCAAAAGTCATCTTCTTTGTATCCATCCCCGTTGGACTCGTTATCTCGGGTGGATTGACGAATTGCCATAAACAGGCCCTGTCGCAGTTGTGTATACAACAGTGCATTCATTGCACAGAGAAGTAGACGGTAGTTGTGATGTTGGCCACACGAGCGTGCAGAGCTCCGTGATTGGGTGGAAAGCTCCCGGGCCTCGTCCCGGTCAAAGATACTTTTCGCAGAGAAACAAGAGGAGATGAGCACGACGCAACAAGATGCTGCAGCAGCGAACGCCAACCCGAGTGGCACCATCCGGACCAGCGTGTCGATCTACTTCCCCATTCTAGCAGCGGGTGTGCTCCTGTTTGAGTGTCTTCGCAGACGCTTCCGTCGCGCCTACGACATCCGACGTCCCGACGAAGACAGACTCAGCGCAAACCGATCTCGTGATCGACTCTTCCGCTGGATTCCCGCGGGCTTTCGAGCGTCGGACGAGGAGGTTCTGCAGAAGTGTGGACTGGATACACTGATGTTCCTGCGCTTCTTGAGACTTGGGCACAAGTTGGCACTACTGGCAATTGGCTGCTCGGTAGTGCTCTTTCCATTGTACGCCACGGCGGCAGGAAAATCGTCAACCGCTCAGTCGGCAGTTGACCCACTGACACGGATTTCTATGAGTAATTTGCCGGAAAAGAGCGACAGACTGTGGGCACCGACAGCCATCGCGTTCGTCATGGCGACGTATGCGATGCGATTGCTCGTGAAGGAGTACAAACTGTACGTCCGGTATCGACATCAAGTGCTTAGCAAGATGGAAGCGCCTCAGTATTCGGTGCTTGTAACAGACCTGCCATTGCATCTGCGAACGCAAGAGACACTGAGGAAGTACATGACCACCATATTCCCGTCGTCGATCCGAAATGTGTACGTGGCACTAGAATGCGCTACGTTGGAGGCATTGGTTGAGCAACGAGAACGAGTGCGGGGAGCACTGGAACACGCACTGGCAAAGTGTGAACACTCACACGAGCGACCACGACATCGAGAAGGAAAGTCATGGATGGGAATGCTCTTGTGTAAAGCCGGAAGTCGAGGTCATGAGGTGGATAGCATTGACTATTTTCAGGATCAATTGGCGACGTTGAATGAAGCTGTTGCAAGAGAAATTCAAAGTATCAATGACGCTCAGTCACGACTTGCTTCAAAATTGGAAGAGCAGGAGCGTGAAGTTAGCAGTGTGGACGGTGGTGATGAGCTGCAGGTGCCAGACAATCGAGGAAGCTGGAGCAAGATCCTGGCCAAAACAAAGCAGAGTGAAGACCCAAAGAAGGCCCCGCTGCTTGATCGGCGAGGCCGTGTAGAGCAAATGCGAAGCAGTTGTGAGGGCGACGATGCTGACAACGCTGATGACAAGAAAGCGCGCCGACAAGAACGGGAAATGAGTCAAGAAGAGCGCGAACAGGCCCGCAAAGAGCAGCCGATTCGGGCAATGAGACGAGCAGCCTTTGTTTCGTTTACGTCTCTAATGTCGACGCAGGTAGCCCAACAAACATTGCAAGCCAAGAATCCTGCGTGCATGGCTGTTGCGCCAGCGCCATACGCCGACGACATTAACTGGGACAATATCGGGCTTAATTACCGAACTCGCGCCATCGGCATGCTTGCTTCAACCTTAATCTCGGCGGCGATCGTGTTATTCTGGACTATTCCAACTGCTTTCGTGGCTTCTTTGGCCACTGTGGAGTCTCTTCGACGTGCGCTGCCATTTCTAAACAAAGCTTTTGACGATTACCCGCTTCTGCAAGACATTTTCAAGCAAATTGCTCCGCTTGCCCTTGTTGCGTTTAGTGCATTGGCGCCGATCGTGTTCAATTTTCTTTCGGGACGAGAGGGGCACCCTTCGAAAACCGAGGTCCGGGCGGCACTATTCTCAAAGTTGGCATACTTCCAGCTTGTTCAGATTTTTTTCGTCACTGTAATTGTTGGTACCATCTTGGACAGCCTCAAAGAGATCTTGGACCAGCCAAAGAAGTTGGTGTCCATGCTTGGACGCAGCATGCCTCAACAGTCAACATTCTTCATCTCGTACGTGATCGTGCAAACAGGTCTGGGGTTGGTCCTCGAGTTGTTGCGTGTGGTTCCGTTGATTTTGTCCGCCCTCTTTGCGATTTTGGCGCCAAAGCATACGCGGCGTGAGCGCAGCTCGCCGTGGCTCGGCTTGCGTGACATTGTGCAGACGGATCCTTTTGACCCGACGAACCCTCTCGCCGACAGTTTTCTGGTCTTACTCGTCACGCTGACATTCGCGCCGATTGCGCCTTTAGTTTGCTATTTCACCTGGTTTTTCTTCTTGGTGGCTGAATTGGTCTACCGTCGGCAAGTGCTTTGCGTCTACAAGCCGACGTACTTTGCGCTTGGAGCCTACTGGCCGCGCATGTTCAAGTTTTGCATCATCGCACTCGTAGTGGCTCAGCTGACGCTCATTGGAATTCTGTCGCTCAAGAAGGCAGCCGTGCCCCCAATTCTCATCATCGTGCTCATAGCCATCGTGTTGCTGTTTCGCTATCACGTGCTCACACTGTACCCACGAGCTGCCAAGCACTTGCCACTTACGGAATGTGTTCGCTTGGATCGCGCGCGTGGTCTTTACGATTCCACAGCGCCAACCTTTTTCTTTCTGGACAACGTGTATCGCCAGCCAGCAATGAACCAGCGGGTGCCTATTCGTGCGGACTATCGCATGTTGACGAACGATTACGACGACGAAACGACATCGATGTTGCCTGAGATGTATCGTCGCGAAGACGAGCGCTTGTTCCCACATGTGGTGTAAATAGCAGCAACCTGCGAGCGAGCATCACGAAAAACTTTTGCAACGAGCGCAGATCGATATAATTGATCTGAGTCATTGCTGTGCATCGCGAACGAACTGTCCGCAACCATTTTGACTGCATATCTCGTCGGACATCCACTGTGTGCACTTTACCAAAGTGCGAGTTTGGTCCTTTCGCTTATGTAGGAATGTTATTATCGAGTCAAATGCCAGGGCAAGAAAACGCGGCGTTGCAAAAGAGCAAGTTCCGACATTCGCAGTACCGCCTGTAGCATTGCGTCGGTTGTCTGATGTACGTCGACAAACGTGACATCATCCGCGTGAGTAAAATCGATCCCGGAGTCAGATTCATACGTCACTTGTTACATATCGTCACGAACCTGCCAATCCAAACCGTATTGCGAGTTGACGATCTCCGTTATTGGCGCTGCTACAGTGTGTGCCAACGAGTGCAAAATCAAACGGCGATAAGCCGATACGTCGGAGCAGTCATTCTGGAAAACGCTTTTGCCAACAGCAGCTGTCGCGACGCTTCTCTCGTTGCTAGGTATGTGCATGCGTAGAGTCGTCATGAAAATCGCTCTGCTCGACTACAGCCGATCCACACTAGTTGCAAACACGTGCGTACGTTCGTAGGTATGGTATGGATGGGCGTTTCAATCAGCTACAACTGGATAAGTAGTAGCGACTCAGCATAAGAAAGTAAAATACAATGGGGCATTGAGGTGACCGGAGATAGTGGTTGGGTCCTACTAGAAGTCGGCTGGCCAACCTCTTTTTAGCAGCCACTGTACATTCATTTAGCCAGCGCCGTACGTGTTTTTAGCAATCGAGTCAACCCCCCGTCGCCATTCCCACGATCGGAACCCATCAGCTGTCGCGGCCGCTGGTTTTCGTCCAACCAAATTTCTGCAATGGACGAGTTCCTCGCCGACCTGCGCGAACTCGACGAGACGCAGGAGCGCGTCGAAGCTGTGAGCGATGGTATGATGCGCATGCAGCGCTCGGGCAACGCGTCCGCGACGCAGGAGATGGTGCAGAGCTGGATCCAGATGCTACGGGCCAGCGACTTCCAGTCGGAGCGCGTCGCGTTCTTGTACGTGGCCAATCACGTGCTGCAGAAGACGCTCTTCAGCGACGAAGAAGGGCACAAGACGCGCGCGTTTGTCGACCTTTTTCTCGAGCACTTGGACGAGGCAGTTGCGCTCGTGTGCAACTCGCCCATGGACCGCCAGAACGTCACGAGGCTCTTGGAATTGTGGCACGAGAAGAAGATTTTCACCGACGCCCAAGTGTTCAAGATGTGGCGCTGTACAGGCGAAGATTTGCCTCAGTTCCTGGAGGCTGTGAGCAGAGACGCAGGTGCGAAAGAGGGCGAGACGAAGGGCAGTGACGCTGGAAACAACGAACTGCTGAACAATCAGGAGGACGCAGGCACAGAGCTCCACCACGTGCTGCCCATGAAACTCAACTCGCACTCGGTCAATCCAGTGCTGGATGTGTTGAAAAAGATTGACTACCACAAGACAGCGGTGCGGTATTTGAATCAGCAAATTGGAGAGAGGCATCAACTGCTGCTGCAAGACAGTGTCGCAAGGTATCGTACAGCAGCAGATCTTGTCGCAGACAGAGCCACGGCGTCTTCTACGATTAAGCAGAGATCAGAGGATTGTTTGAGACTGGTAAAAGTGCGCAATGTAAGTGATGGAGAAGAGATGTGACGTTGACGATAAAAGGCTGAGTCATGGGTGCGTGGCTTTTGTGGACAGAAATCCATTCGTGAAGTGGCAGCTCTAAAGACGAAGCTTTCGGAAGCAATTGCCAACATGATTGAATACGAGGTGATGGGTGATTCTTAGGTGAGCAAGTGCTTATGTACAGCATGATGACGAGCTTGAATGTTGCGCTTGTACGATCTCTGCAGGAAGAAGCCGCGGCGAAGATTGAGCAGAAACTTGAGGTACGTCTTTTCTGTTGTGCGTACAAACTCGCATTAAGAACTGAAGAAAAGCGATGTTGTCACTTTGCAAACATTCTAGCAATGTGATGAGATCGACTTGGGTCTGATGGATCTGACAGATCATCAAAAGCAGTTTTCTGAAGAGGTGTGTTAACGTCGCCTGAAGCTGCTTTCCTTTTTGTTTATTTTTGCAAGTGAAAGAGTGATCGTATAGCTAACATTGCGCGTTTGTAGTGGTCGCATGCACGCTTTGTGAATCTTGAGCGTCGAAAACAGCGCGAAGAACTTCAGCGTCAGAAGGACGAGGAGATTGCCCGTCTGCACCAGGCGGCTATTGCCGAAAGCGCGATGCATGCAATGAATTTAGAGGCTGACATCAATCCCAACTCGGCTTCAGAACTGCAGTCGCTATCGAGAAAGTTTGAGGGTCGGCCACAGGAAAAGGACGCCAAAGCTGAAAACGAGAACGAACTTGTTTGGAACCCGTACGAGTTGGATGTGACTAACAGGCCATTGATAATCGAGTCATTAACGCTCACGTCTTTTTTGCAGGATTCGAAAAGAGTTGGTGCCGTTACGAAGCTTGAACGTGGATTGGGAAGATTGGCGAGACCATTGATTCGGCTCGCGGTGAAGCGGATGTTGTGTTGGGCAAGCTCATGATTACTCGTCGTACCTTTTTTGTAGCTGCATGTAATTGACGAACATGGCATTGTCAAGCACTTTCACGTTGTTTTTGACCTAAACTGGGCTTGCCTTCATTGCGTTCTGGTGTGATTGTAGCGATCTCAGCTTTTGCTGGTACCCAGGCTTGTGCATTACACAGATAGTTACCCGCTCACTGCATTGCTGTCCTAGCAAATGATACATAAGCGTCGGGTGACAATCGAGAGATTTCTCCAGCAGTGCTGTCGCGCAGATGAGTCACGTCTGCGCCTTTGCAAGTTTCGCGAGACGATGACGATCTGGCTAATTTCAGCTAAGTTGGGTAGCGACGCTATGCAGCAGTGATATGAACTATACTCAGAGCTGCGCGGTCGAAAAGAGTCATGCGTCCCGCCACTCACTACCCAGTGCTGAGAATGAATACAAGAGAAAGGCTCTCGAGGAGGGAAATGCTATACACATACGATAAGGGACGTGGACAAGAAGTCGATGCAGTGTAGCAGCAAACGAAGATTGTTTGTGCATACTACATACAGGCAGATAATCGCACGCCAAACAACATTTTGTGGTAATACGTCGTCAGTGTGTAGGTAATCAACGTGCTAAATGTTACGATGTAGCTGTTGTACTTGTACCCCATGACATTTTTAAGTACTCTTCTAACAAAGACATGTGGTGCGCCTGATTCTGAAGCGTACACGAACTTCTCGATCGAGGTCGTCACTCGCCTCGACGAAGCAGTCGCTCGACATTGACACCATTTGGAGCAGTACTTGGTGAGACCATAAGCGGCCTTTTCCATCAGATTGACCCGAACTTCGTCATAGCCAAAGTCTTCCTACGTCGAGCTCTCAACGACAGATCGCAATGAATCGTGAGCTTATCACCAGAGCATGCTTCTTAAGCAAATCGCGGCCAAAGTTCATGCATGGATCAGCCAACATCCGTTGTATCACACGTACCGAATGATGCTTGAGTCCTGGTCATGAAGCCTTAAAACCATAGTTACGCATGATGTCTTCGTCTTCCAAGTTGCCAAGATCATATGGCAAATAAGCTTGGATGATGTTTCTGCACGATTTGGTCGTTTTCCTTTCTTCAGAGTCCTGTTAAGCTATACGTGCCTTTCTAGCTTCATCGAGTTAATCACGGCGTCATTTGTTTTGAAAATATAAAACACTGGACACTCCGAAACATCCTCAGTTAACCCAACTGGCACATGCCAGTTGGATTGCAACGCAAAACTCGGGGTCTTTTGGTTATTTGGCTTCCGAGGGTGCTCTAGTAGAGTTAGAGGGTGACTCTAGCACCACCCGCATGGCATTCCTGTGTTTGTCTTTGCCGTGCGCCTGCAGCACATGTAAGAAACATGCGCGCTTTCGCACTAGCTACACAATCGAAACCTTTGTGCAGCATACCCATGACATATAAAACGGGGCCCGTTGCGTCACACTAAACGTCATTTCACGCTTTTTCAGCCGTTTCGTCTCAAGCAGCGCAGCCGCTGAAAATACCGATTTGATCCACTTATCTACTATCGAGGTCAGGGTACGTCGATGTGGACGATCGTACAGGCTCTTGATGACAACGAAGAGCTTTTCGTCCGTGACCGTACAAAAGACGTTTTGATTACCACAATTGCAATCTACCTGCAAAGTCCAAGTGCTACTGTGAGCTAGACTGTCTTTTCGGTCCATTATCTGTTTTTATGCAATGACGATAAGCTGTATGATTCGACTCACACGAATTCAGGCTTAACAATTTCGTAAAACTAAGACTGCATGTACAACTTAGTCACGAAACAAATGAGCTTAGGCAAGCCATCAGGTAGAAGTTGACTTCTTTTATGGCACAGCTGGCACGCTTTCTCTAAACGCGTCTGAGGACAGATATAGATTTTGTCAGGCCTCATGCGGTGGTAATTTACGGCACGCATAGAAACGTGGCCGATAGAAATCTTGGTCTTTGCATGCGTATTTACTGATCCTACACCTAAGGTTTGCCTCTAAACATGCTTCGCTACGAAAAATCGCTCGCTGCATGTGAAAGCACCAATCGGTTATACGCACCTGCATGCAGAGAACTCAGTTTTCGATAAAAGTGTAGTGGTTAGCACCTATGCAGCCGACGTTTGACGAAAGTCATATATTTGCAACCGAAGATCCAACCACGACGAATAAGCACTTTTTGACCACGGTATCTACCCGACCTCGCTTGAGAAAGCATGTCAACGATAGTGCTACCTGATGATATAGCTACCTTAAACGATGGAATATAGCACTGACATGCTGCGGACGATAGCAGCTGCGTGTAGAACATGACGACACAGCCCAGGTCGCCCTGCATGAGTGAAGAAATAAATTTCGTCGTGTGGGAACGTTGTTGACGTTCAGGACCTCCTCGAAACGCGGTGCGAGTACGAATGTCGGCGCTCACCACAAACTCGACACCATTCCGCCGCCACATCCTTGTCTACCGATGTAGACACTTGTTGCCGATCCTTTGAAGCCATAAAGATTCTGGGAAGCATGCAAAAAGAACCGAAAGTGTTCATGTTACGTGATACTTCCTGACGCTATGGTAGAAATGTTTGACCGAAAATATTTGTCATCGATGAAGCTGTATGAATAGCTACTTGGTGAAGTCGCGGGTAGCGTTGGCTTTCGTAGTCTTTTCACAGGATGTCATTAGTGGAGCCTTCGAACGGACTTCGCCATTTGATGATACGGATCAAAGCGAGCTCCGAGAGATGTAGCGGTATTTCGGATGCTGGGTGTGTGTCCAGCCTGGCTTGACTCGCTTGGCCCAAGTTTCCTGCTTGATTCTTTATCGACTGTATAACTACAGCTGAAGAGCCGCTATTTGTAATTTTATACACATGCGCCTTGCCTATAGGGTCGTAAATGTCTTCGATGCCACTCTTGCACCTGCAGACGCCAGCGATTTATCTTAGTCTTCCTCTAAAATGTGCTGGTACTTTATTGACTCATCCCTCTATTCTGTATTGCAACACACGCACATATCTTGATAAGCTTTCTAAACTGATTCTGATCAGTTTGAGGAGCTGAAAAGAACTTAGTTTTCGCGAATGGACATTCACCCACACATCAATTTAACGAACCGATCAAAATCAAAGATTCTGATTGGTTAGTGTCGTCTCCGTCATCTCTGTCGCTTCCCTCTATTTGCGCAAGATCTGTAGGACGGAGCTCCCAACTGTTGCACGTTTAACAACTGCCTCGAGAGTTTGCTTCAGCGTGCCGTAGGTCGATTAACGATATTATAGGAGAGCTAACTGAACAAAATCTGTGACGTGGTCATGGAATTGTAAGGGTGTCCACATAAAGTAGCTTGTATAAATTGTCAACGATGGGTGCGCTCGTTACTATATCTGCACGTATACAATTCCTGCAAAGAGCTTGGCAAGCTTACAGGCTACACACATAAACTACAGTATCACCTTCACGGTACAGATGGACGTCACCAGACATATTGTATAGCATAAGTGGAGCCACAAGCCAATGGAGTAGCACGTCGAATGATCAAAACTTGAATGGCGATGCACTTCTTACCAAGAAATTTTTGGGATTGAGACCTAGTTACCGATACCGACTTACAAATTCGATGGGCACGTTTTGTTCTAGCTAAACTGTACCACACAAAAGCTGCGACTAAGAAATTGTGCTACACGTTGGATTGCTCGAGCAGTATCAGCAAGGTAAAGCACATGGTGGACAAAAGGTCTGAGCGAGGCGCTTAGGCTTTGATGGATGGGGTATCGCCTTTTTGCTGAAAGACAATCATCGTAGATGATGTTTGGATCCATGTGCGCGTGTGATGTGACGACGCGAGCGCTGTCTTATCAAGAAAAGTCGATTTGGACTATCGATGATTGTAGCGTATGGCAAGTGTGTTCTGCCGCACTCTTTCATTATTACCTGCAGTGTACCCTTGCTACAAATTATAACCAAGGAAAACCCACACTCATCTGATACGTATGCCACGTATGTGGTTCACCCCGTTACGGTACTGACATCTTAGTATGATTGATGTTAGATCAAGTCAAGAAAGTGAATGTCAAGCTAGCCACCACTGTTTGGAACGATGATACAATACATCGGATCGTTGTTTGGTTAAGCCTTACATGCTGGGTTGGGTCATGCTCGATTCTCCATGTTTGGCTCGCGATGTTGCCTGTACAGCTACGCCTTAGCAATTGCTCGCTGTAAGAGGTGGTGCCTGTCGAAGGCGCTATTGTGGTGGTGAGATTTGTTGCTTCCCAAAGTTAGGTCCGGAAATGATAACGGGTGCTGTGTACAACCTCCAGAGCTTTGCGTTCAAGCCCAGTTGGTTCCTGTGGCCTAAGCACCTTTAGCAAATTATCTGCTGAACTCATGTGTACGGTGCACAATGCTCGAAGGTATAGTTCTGGATACTGTAACAATAACTACAAATAACATGTTTTCACCCTGATCGTATGGCTATACGAATTCGCACTTGATGTAAAGATGACTTCGAAACACAGGAATGATTTCGAGAAGTCGTCGGTCCTAATGTGCCGTTTCGTGAAGGTGGGGGGTAGTAGTAGTAGTAGTAGTAGTAGTAGTAGTAGTAGTAGTAGTAGTAGTAGTAGTAGTAGTAGTAGTAGTAGTAGTAGTAGTAGTAGTAGTAGTAGTAGTAGTAGTAGTAGTAGTAGTAGTAGTAGTAGTAGTAGTAGTAGTAGTAGTAGTAGTAGTAGTAGTAGTAGTAGTAGTAGTGGTAGTAGTAGTAGTAGTAGTAGTAGTAGTAGTAGTAGTAGTAGTAGTAGTAGTAGTAGTAGTAGTAGTAGTAGTAGTAGTAGTAGTAGTAGTAGTAGTAGTAGTAGTAGTAGTAGTAGTAGTAGTAGTAGTAGTAGTAGTAGTAGTAGTAGTAGTAGTAGTAGTAGTAGTAGTAGTAGTAGTAGTAGTAGTAGTAGTAGTAGTAGTAGTAGTAGTAGTAGTAGTAGTAGTAGTAGTAGTAGTAGTAGTAGTAGTAGTAGTAGTAGTAGTAGTAGTAGTAGTAGTAGTAGTAGTAGTAGTAGTAGTAGTAGTAGTAGTAGTAGTAGTAGTAGTAGTAGTAGTAGTAGTAGTAGTAGTAGTAGTAGTAGTAGTAGTAGTAGTAGTAGTAGCACAACGATGTCATGTATTCACCGACCGCCAGCTCATAGACAGGACCCACGCAGTCACCTGGTCCGTTTGGTATAATCTTGGTGTGTGCTTTATACTGGAACCTGACCAGGCGAGCAGATCCGGGTGATAGAAGCGACGTAAATGTCATCATGAATGACCCCAGCGATGCGTATGTTCGCACCTTTCGTACACGTCATTCTCATTTTTATGGGGATACAAAAGCGCACCACATAATTACGATCAATGAAAAATGCACCAGAAGACGAGAAGTTTAATGAAGCATTACGTAAAAGAAAAACAACGATGCACTCGCGAAGTCTTCTGTACGTCCTAACAGAGACGCGCTGAGGATCACACAGAAGCTATTGAATTTGTTATTGAAATATATATATATATATATACCGTAGTATCAATCTGACAAAGAGATCAAGCATCACCGGTGGATCGGTAGTGTCGGATCGTTCTTTGTATCCATCGATCACACAGTTTTGCACCACTAAGTTTACAGACACGCAAGCACCCTTGCCGTTGGTCACATACCTCTACGACGTGAGCGTCAGTATATTGTTTCAGCGCGTCTGAGGTGGACACGTAGCAGAATGAAGTGTGAGCTCATTGTGCCACACGATCGATGTGGATGGAGAGGACATAGGTATCTAGGCTTGTCTACATTGTGTCCCCCGCAGCATACGGCAATATCGCATCTGCCTTCACAGCTCATAGACGGCAATACATACGTCATCACCAACAATGTGACAACCATTGACAGATTCATTGTTTGCGACGGCATGACACCCCGTCAATCCTGCGCGCTCTATCAGCGTGCTTTACACTTTGCGTGTCTGCAAGCATCTGCAAGACCACGTGCAATAGCATTAAACGTTTTTCACAGCTCTCCACTATGCTGCTTCCTCTTCTTGCCATTGTTTACCGTCGTCTGGTGCTGCCTTTCCATTTGCGGCTGTATAAGTCAGGACAGTTGCGTCTGCTGGAAGAAACCTCAATTATACGTTGATTCGTGCTACTCCTTCCTTGTACGGAGGCACTACTTTGCTGTACAAAACACAATAAGTCTTGGTAGAACATGCAGTAGTATCCTATACAACTTTATGTCGACTTCCATCCCACACAGCGTTAAGTTCAAGGAACACATCAAAGCAAACATTTCTAGGCAACAACAACATGATACAAGCGCGTTTGTCGGTGCCGAATACAGAGGCCGGGACACTCGCTGCTAATGCCACGACGACAGGAATACGTTTTTCTTCCAGCTCAGAATTCCACAAAATGAGCCGCGAGCAACAGATTGGTTCATGTGATACGTCAGCATCGCTTCAGAGCTATCGTACAAATAGTGGTTCATTTTGGTAGTAGTCGGATCCCAACAAAGTTACAACAACGCCAGACGCACTCATGCACCTTAACGCCTTCCCTTCTCGTATGCTATCTTGGATGTAAGGTATGCTCTAGAAGTACAAGCGCTGACGTGTCTTATAACAACTACCTCCAGCGACCGGACTCAGGAGCACGGGCAGATTCGCGAGACGAGCTCTCACGGTCGCCACCACGTTGCGTATTGTACGGGCCGTCACGCTGGAAGCGACCACTAAAGCGATTGTCACCGTCGCGACGGACAGAGCTATCCCCATCGCCTTCAACTTCACGACTGCCACTGCCTTCTCCATCACGCTCCCCGCCACGACGGAAAGAGCCTTCACCATCACGGTCGCCGCCACGACGATCTCCCCAACGTGAACCACCTCCCTCGCGATCTCCACCGAAGGCCCGGCGCAAACCACCTTCGTTCTCAGTGCGGTCGCCAGCGCCACGATTGAAAGAGCTTTCGCCATCACGGTCGCCGCTACGACGATCTCCCCAACGTGAACCACCTCCCTCGCGATCGCCACCGAAGGCCCGGCGCAAACCACCTTCGTTCTCAGTGCGGTCGCCAGCGCCACGATTGAAAGAGCTTTCACCATCACGGTCGCCGCCACGACGATCTCCCCAACGTGAACCACCTCCCTCGCGATCGCCACCGAAGGCCCGGCGCAAACCACCTTCGTTCTCAGTGCGGTCGCCAGCGCCACGATTGAAAGAGCTTTCGCTATCACGGTCGCCACCACGACGATCTCCCCAACGTGAACCACCTCCCTCGCGATCGCCACCGAAGGCCCGGCGCAAACCACCTTCGTTCTCAGTGCGGTCGCCACCAAACGGGCGACGGAGACTGCCACCTTCACGCCCATCACGCTCACCAACGCTTTCGCTAGCCGAAGGTCCGCGGCGTTCCCACCGGCCTTCGGGTGCTGCGATTTGAGTACGACTGGACGAGCCGCCACGAGTGACCTGGGTCCACTCGCCATCGTCCCTGTCATTGCCACGGCGATCGTCATCACGGCTACGGTACGAGTCGTTGAACCCACCAGATAAACCACGAGCTCCGGCGCTGCCGAAACGACCCTGGCTGCGCTGCTCAACACACTTCTTCTCCTCCTCACTCTCAAGCTGCTCCTTGTGCTTGCGCTCCTCCTCTTCAGTAATACGACGCTTCTCGGCTTCTTCCTCTTCCTGGCGGCGAAGCTCTTCCTCAACCTCTAGCTGGCGCTGGCGTTCACGTTCGGCCACCTCCTCGCGATGAAGGCGATCCTTCTCCTCTTCTTCCTCCCGCAAACGACGCTGCTCGTCCTCGTAGCGCTCCTTCGCGTGGGCCACGCGACTGCTGAGACGGTCTAGCATAGCCTTTTTCTTCTGTTCCTCTGACGCCTTCTTGTACTGTTCGACACGCCGAGCTCTGTGGGCCTCGACAAACTTAGCACTCACACGAATAGCCACGGCCAGGCGAGCCTTCTCTTTCAGACCATGTTCATGGTCTTCCTGGGCACGCTTTAACTTGGCGGCCGTCTCCTGTTCATAGTGCTTCAGGGCCTCAGCCTTGGCCTCTGCGACCTGTACCTGCAAAATGGGCTGCTCTTCTTCGCGTGTAGCACGCACAATGTAGTCGAGACGACGAGCGTTTTCACGCAGCTTTTGCTGCGCGAGCTCTTTGGCCTTGCGAGCCTTTTCCTTCGCTTCGTTCACTACCTTTTCTGTGTCGATCGTGGCCAGGTCGAGATCGCTTAGGTCTGTATGGCCAAGCTTATCAAGCATCGTACGAGTTTCCTTCAGCTTGATCTCGTCCTGAATCTTTTGCTTCTTCTCGGCTTCACGACGGCGAATTTCCTGACTCAAGCGCTCCCTCTCGAGCTCCGTGCGGCGCTTCGCAAACTCCTTGCGCTTCTTTTCCAGAGACTGGAGCTTCTCGTGTTGAAGCTTCTCTAGCTCGTCTTTCTTTCGCTCAACAATCTCACGACGGGCTAGCATCTCCTTGTGCTGATCGTGCAAGCTGGCACGAGTGGCTGCAAAAAGCTTCTGCTTCTCTGCACTACAAGCGGCCTTGGTGAGCGAGGCGCCAACAGGCACCTTACTCATGACACGTGAAAGACGTTCGCCCAGAATAGTAAGCTGAGCAGCATTCGCCTCTAGATCCAACGCATCGGTGAAGCGAATGCACTGCTCCACGTGATCAATGCGAATCTTAGTGCGAGTTTGCGTAGACGAGATGACGTCAGCCGAGGAGGTCTCGGCGTTGTTGCTGCCGTGTTGGGTGACGTTTCGCCTATACATGCTAGAGAGACTGGGAGCACTGGCGGAGGCAACAGTGCTCAGACTACGCGATCGCGCGATCAACGTCTCGATCTCCTCGTATGACACGTCAAGACCCGCAAAAATGGATCGGAGGTGGGCTATTGTCACGCTAGCGTACACTTGGGTAAGCTGAAACAGCACGCGCCGAACCACGAGACGCTCCACTCCATTGACATACGCCTTTGCAAGTGGGTCCGCGCGGATGGTCGTCAAATACGGATCCAGTTGCTTCACGATCTGCAGAGGATCCACCTCCTCCAGCTCGACGCGTAAAAAGATCTTGCTGGCCGCATTAGAAGCTTTCGGTAGCAAACCAGCGGCTTCAATGTCTTCGAGCAAATTGGCACGTGTTGGGGTCGTAGCAAAGCCCAGGAGGGAAGCCATACGCGAGTTCTTGTCACGAGCAGCCGCAGAGAGCGAATTGTCAGCGACCTGCGTCACCGAGGAGGGCTCGTCGTTGCCTAAAACAGATGACGTCGACTCAAAGTCCAGCAGCGGGATCGACAAAGCTGCGAGCACCACACGTGTAGCCATCTCTTTCTGCTCCTCCTCCGAGACAAGCACTGGGAGCTTTCGCAGCGCGTGGGCACCACCAAGTCCGGGAAGACCAGCCACCCGCAGCGAGTACCACTTGTACAGTGCGTAGGCGTGGAACAAATGGTTCTTGGACACCTGGAAGATTTGCGCCAGTTTCTCGTAGTATGTGACCAGCAGATCGACGCGCGGAGTTTGCTCTACCAGATTCATAATGTTGTTAATGTCATCGATCGTGCGGAAAGCTTCCGAGAACAGCTCAAGGTCCGTGGCGACCTGCAGCTGACGGTAGCGCACTTCAAGCAGCAGCTCCACACTCTCGAGCGTGAATCCGTCCCAGCTGCGCATCTGACGCGTCGATTGGCTCGTGGGCGTCGCCACGTGCTTTTGCAGCGCGCTCATGTGGTTGCGCATGATCTCACACACGCGACGAAACTCAATCTTGCGCTGGTACTCGACACAAAAGTCAAACGTCTGCATGGCTGTCACCTTGTACAGCAGCTCGAGCTTCGAGTTGCTCTTGAGGATGTCCAGCACCGTGCGATAGGTTTCCCACATGAACCGCAGCCACGGCACGACGACCTCACGGTCCGTGCGGTCGTTCGAGCCCTCGAACGTTGTCGTGGACAGCATCACGTCCTCTGGCGTCTGCGCAGCATCCAAGTCCACCTTCGCAGCCGCCAAGAGATTCAGCTCATTGCTCTCTTTCTTTGCCGCTGCAAGCTTACGCTCAGCCTGGCGGACAAAGTGTTTAATGATCGTCTCGAGCGACGCTGGATTGTGCTGGATCGACAAGTTGCGGTACTGGTGCAGTCCATCCTTCGCGACGCGACCCATCTGGAGCTCCACGCAAATGTCCAGGTACAAGATCATGAGCTCCTCGTGCGTGGGCTGCCATGTGCGGTTCTTCTTGGCGATGAGCGCGTCGTGCAGGATCTCGAGCGCCGAGTGCTTCGTCCGCTTGAGCACGCCCGCGTCCACATTGGGGATCGCCAGCAGCTCCCGCGCGCGCTTGAGCGCGTTCTCGGGCTTGTGGAAAAAGTGCGACATGCTACAGCGGTGGGCGCGACAGCGGACTGCGTCTCGAGCTCCTACTGCTACTGCTCACGTCGCGGGGAAGCTCTGCGACGAGGGGAGAGATGCTGTTGAACGACGGCTGAATCGGTGGCTCGCAGGAGAAGGGGTGGGAGTAGTGTGGGGCACCTTAAATGAGGGAATTTCTGGTATGACGACTGGGCAGAACTGCTTCATGTCTTGTTTCACGACCCGGCGCCCGCTATGTATAGCCCAGCAAGCTCTCGGAGGGCTTGACGATATGAGGAGTCGGTCTGTCAAGAAGGCCTTATTCGAATATAGGTAGGCTTGGAGAAGGAGAGAAAGCGGATAGGCCCACTTACGATATCAGAGTCGTGGAATACTAACAGGAACGCATTTTGGTTGGACAGCAAGTCTAGCTACTTGACGGGCGAGTGCGATGGATCCGTTTCGGTGCACGCATCTTTTTCTACACTCGTTCGACAATGCCTGTGGATGTGCTTTATGACCTTCCGGCGTCGGCGTTTGGTGGACATCGTAGTGCATGTATTTGAGCACTCTTTTGCAGAATGATGATTCAGCGGAGTGTCGCAAATTTGGAGCGAGTTACATGATCCTTCACTTGCTGGCACTGCAGCAGTCGTTGTTTCGGCAGCGTGGCCAGTGGGTGTCCTTTTTGTATCTGAATTGTGATGAATATTGAGCCACATCTCGGAGCGAAATTAGCAGATTTCAAAGCATCAGCGTCCCATGATTGACTGGCACTGCACCAAGATAGTGGTCAGGCTACAGGTATTAACATCGACAATTTAGATCAAGGATGTTGATACGTATGGGCCTACTACCCACATTGACAAACTATAATATGTAAAAAGATGACTTCACGACGCGGCAACGCAGCACAGTCAGATACTATCGTGCATTTATCCCGACCGAAGGCCCGTCGGCTAACATGAAATCGCGGTAAGAAAGTTGTCGACAATATTTCTTTTACTTTCAAGGGTGCAACGTTCGCAGGGCTTCAGCGGGCTATTCAATAACGCGGCTGATATTGCATAGGTGCCGTGTACCACACAGCGCAGTCCAATGCATTTTTTCAGTGGATCGGCATGAGACTCACTGTGAGACAAATTTGTTGTGGCATCCAGTAACCAGTATACCGATCAAATGAGTTGGTAAAGATTGTGGAATATCTGTGTCACTGGGGAGGACAAATATGCCAAAATCAGCAATGACCATATGACATTGACGTAGATACTCACCCAGTGGGTCACCTTACCAAATGGTGCGCGTTCATGTACCAATTTAAACGCAGATCAATAGTGCAAGCCGGCAAACTAGAATCGTACCAACATGTAGTAAATAGATGACCACGCGCATTCCACAGTTATTAATCCTGGTGCTGTTCTGCATCAAAGGTAAAAAAATGAATGTGCAGACGCCCTAGCAGAGCCGCATCATCACGTGAAACCGCTGACAGCCTGTGTAACGGGGCAGCCCGTTACATGAAATTGTCACTTTAAGGAAAGTGAAAATAAAGAATATAAAGATGGATATTCTTTAAACAATATCACCAAAGTGGTGATATTGAAGGGTCGACCAAAGGGTCTGTTCATTGGTTGATATCGTGATGATATCAACCCACCAATCGCCGCAAGACGCGCGCAATGAGTGGTGACGAGACGTCACCATACGTCCAGTTATATTAGCAAAATAAGTTAAGTCAAACGAAGAGACAGTAGTTTAAAGACTTAATTATATTAATATAACAGTTCTACTTTTACCCTACCTACGCTTCCTCGCTTGCCACGTGTACGTCCGTCGGGGCACCCAAAACCCTTGCGTTAAGTTACGCAAGGGTGTGCCCCGTTACAGCCTGGATATAGATCTGCCGATCTTATGGTAACGAGTACTGGCGAGAAGCGAAAAAGAGATCTCGCCAGCGAAGCCTGTAATAAGTACGCACCTGGAATTCTCTCTTTGTCATTGCTTGTCGTTTACTTCGTATCGAGAACTTAGAAAAATGTAAAAACTGCAATAGCCCGTGATGTATTGAACGTATCACGTTCCCGGGTATATAGTGTCCAGAACCCCGACACTTGACACCTTCACGCAGTGATAAATGTCTGCGACGCCTTATTTGCTCAATCGCATCGAGTTTGCTGCAATTCACAGAAGTTCAGCAAGACCATTTATATACAAAATGCTGGATGGTAGCGTAAAGGATCGGAATAAAGTTGACATCTCCTTCTGTGTAAAGTAGATGGTGTATACAGCCGAGTAATCGACTGATGAGCCCATTCCTGTATCGCATATCGATTGCTATCTAAGAATTGAGATTAACGACAAGACTGACATAAAGCTTTGCTTAACGCTGTGATGATGAGCCTACCTTTTTTTCAAAATTGGGACCTCACGTACTTGACTCCAGGGCGTTTGCAAATGATTGGTTCATGCCTGCTTCTTAAAATCATTACACACCTTCTTTGTAGGTAGCTTTATCAAACGAAAAAAATGTAAATAAACACAAATGGTAGATCCGCAAAAGCGTAACAGATCCGGGGGAAATGAAACGACATGATCATGCCACATGCCGTGTACAAGTGTTCAAGTTGGTGTTGATTAGTATCTATTGCGCTCTCAATCTATGGCATACCACAATACCGTTAACATTGGCCTTTAATTAAGCAAAAGGTCGACGCGTTCTTACGATCCAGCAACATGTTCATAAAATCGGTTGTTGTATAAACATGCCGGTCGGCAACTCAATATATATGGTTCGAAACGTGCTTCTAGTTAGGGGGAAAGCACTCAGAAAGCACCGTTATGCCATCGACAAAATTCATCGCGATGACAATAGCAGTAAGCACAATGTTCCTCTACCGATATATATTAATGTGCATATTTAATTGATCGTTTTCAGGCGTGCATCTGATATTTAACTTCTTCTTATCTTCGCAACCTACCAGGGCCTTAGCAACTTCTCTACTTATCCACAAAATCCACCTTTCCTCTGACCGTGAAATGGGGCATACTTCTTACCAAACTACTAGTGAGCGTTTGTACCGATAAAGTAAAAGATTGTAACGGGGTAGCCCGTTACATAACGTTATCATTGTGACAAAGATGGTAACAAAGAATATTACATTGAAATTTCATTTGACAATGTCACGAAGTACATTTATTCTGTTGAGATGACCGAATGGTCTACTCACTGGTTGATATTGAGAAGATGTCAACCCACCAATCGCTTCTAGACGCGCGCAATGGGTGGTGAGTTGACGTCATCATACATTTAGCTATATTAATATAATAAAGTCAGGACAAAGAAACAACAAGAGTGATGGGACTTAATAGTATTTAACAACATTTTTACTTTCCCGACAACTATAGTCTTTGACTTAGTCGCTTACCTTCCTCTGTAGTAGTGTAATACATAGCAGGGCACTGGCCTTCACTGTTTTCAGTGAAAGTTAACTCCGTACTCGTGGATCAGTACGTAGTTGTCGGTGCCCCGTTACACCTGGTAGCACTTGTAGTCCGTCCAAGGACCACAATCGCATCGCCCAATATGAACATGTTGGAAGATGAAGAAGGCGACAGCTTTCACGGGTCCCGTGAAAGCTACTCCTATTTGAGCGATGTCGGATGGAGTGCAATCGAACGAATGAGTTTGACCGCTGGCGAAGAAGCTATCTGGGCCATGCTATCCTCAAGAGATAGGAACCAACAGCATGCCATCATCAGCAAGTTCTTGCAACGAGAACTTGATGAGTCACGAGCGCAGGTGACCTTGTTGCAACAACAAGATCATCAGCGAACTGAAACTATAAGACAGCAACAGTCTCAGTCTGCAGAGTCGACGCGTGAGCGTCGACGGGGGTCTCTTGAGATAGAGATCTCCAAGTACCGGGGAGCCGAGGAAGACTCCCTGTTAAGATGGTCCGTCGAGGTAGACGGTGCCATCTAGACCCGTCGCATCGACGATGATCGAATGCAAGTCGAATTTGCTCAGTCGTACTTGTCAGGGGACGCCAGGAACTGGGCTATGAATCTCAAGTTGCACGACCCGAACGTGTTTGGGTTGTTAAGGATCTTCAAGACCTTGCTCAGAGGAACTTTTGAGTCGCGAAGGGCAGAGTTCAGGACTCTATCATAGCTCCTGCAACCCAAACAGGGTAATCGTAAGGTTCACGCTTACGCCCAACATGTGCGTTACCTTGCAAGTTGCATGATACCGAATCCTGTGAGTGAATTTGTGCTGATCGCAATATTCATTCAAGGACTTTCAGATGGTCCCGTCAGGGACCACCTGTTCCGCGGAGAGCTTAAGACTCTCTCGGATGCGATCTTTGCTGCGCAGCAGGAAGACTTTAGTGTGAGACAGGCTCACACTACATTGACCCCTTATCGTCCACAGAGATGACCAGCGGTCGGAGGTCCAGAGCCAACGGACCTCTATTATGTCGAGGTCGAGAAACCTCGCCCTGCGAATTACAAGCCATCGCTGAGATGCCATCGCTGTCGCAAGCTGGGACGATACGCATATAAATGCAGTGTCCTCCGCTCAGAAACTCGCGGTGCTGAGCGTAGTAACCGTCCACCATCCAGGAGAACTGGGGACGAGGGCCCGACGCTGTTGCAAAGCCGCAACAGAGAGGCGGACCACCAAAAAATGGACGGGGTCTGGAGGGGAGGAGCGCCCTACTGATCCAGCAACATCAAGAGAATTTGAAAATCTCTTGACGAATGTTGCTCATAACACACAGTCACTGTGTGTCTCTTCACCTGGTGATGAGGTATCCCTCATCACCTTGACGTTCGAAGTGACAACGGACTTGTCACTTCTCGCCCTAGTTGACTGTGGGAAGTCGAGCAGTTTCGTTTGTCTCCAGTCACTAGAAGCTGGAAGACTGAACTTCGTCGAGCGGGAGATCCCTCCGACGAGGATGAAGGTGTGCCTAGCGACAGGCGCATCGATCACTGTGAAGAAACGTGTAGTCGGAATCCACTAC